CCAAGGTTGTACGTATTATACGTAGAAAAATTGTTCCTCCAGGGAACGGTGTATATTTGTGACTTTTTTAATATTAATCAGTGCCCTAGTCATTACCAGAATTTCAAGAATTCGCAACTCATCAGCAACTCATCTGCAAAATAAAGAATTACAGCAAAAAATGAACCTAATTCGAGCAATTTGCTTATCAGCATCCCTGCCTCCTTCTTGTTGGTCTGCCTTGAGTCCATGCAAATGACGTCCATTAGCAGAACACAGCGACGGGCAAGTCTCTCTTGCGCTTGCAGAGAGAGCCCCCGGGTCTGCTTCTGCGAGTGACAAGGATAGAAGACTTCGCGGTTCGGATGAAATGAATCGTCCGCACGCTGTCGCCCTGCCGTGAGAGGCATGCGGCTAAAGGGGGGGAGAGGAAGAGGGTGCAAGGGCAGAGGGGGTTGAGGTAGGTTTAGCCTCCTCACAGATGTAAGGGTGCGATAGGGTGTGGGTGATGCGCGATGGCAAGGGGGCACAGAGAAAAGGTGAGTACGGTGATTTCCGATCATGGCTGCCAGGGAGAAAAAAAACATACTCCACAAAGAGAAATGTGTGAATTCGAACACTTAAATGTACGTGTCAATGTGTTACTCACTGTAAAATGCTTACGAACTAATATCCTTCGCAACGTTACGAACAATTCTCTTTGAATTGCAAAAGAAAGAATTGTTTCTGCTTACTGCTTACAAAAAATGAACTATTCGTTTGTAAGCTAACGAAGAATTATATTGTAATACAACGCTTCAAAATCCTTCGTAAGCTACAAAGGATTAGGTTTGCAATACGAGCCTGTTGTTCGTAAGCTACTGGCAGTGCGCGCAAAAAAAGTGTGTCACCATAGCCAGAAGAGTTATTTGCTTTGGCAACCATCTTAAGCTTGGCTTACTGTCAGGAATCACCATAAAATATGATGGTTCAAAGCAAAAAAAATCGGTGTGTTTTTGTGATACGCATCAAAGTGTGTGATATAAACATAGCACTCGCAGAAAAGTCACACGTGTGACTTACAGTATAACATGTGCATACTTGACCGACACAGAAGAGTATGATACAGACATGGCTGTCACACATTTTTGTTGTGTATAACGTAAAATGCATACTTTTACGTGCGACATCTTGGCACTCACTCTTAAGTGTTCCACTGCTACACACTTCTATATAAAAAGCGCTAGATTGCTCGAAATAGGCAGAGAGGAGTCAGGACGTCAAAATAGAAAGACCCCATGCGGCATTACGGAAAATAAATATTAAGGACGAGTAATTGGTAATTGTGACTATACGCGACGCTACAAGAATATTGCAGAGCCTTTTGCAGGTATGACAAAGTGAGCAGTAGCAGCGGATGCTGCTTTCATCTTGGTGATAATGAATTGGTAGGAGCACAGTGTTGCAGCTGGGACCCTGGCAGAGTGGGTGGGGCTGAGTTAGGAGGTGGGGTGCCCTCTGTCATTGCAATTAATTCATTCATTTTGCACTGAAACGCCGCGAACAAGACGGCTCGAGGGAGTAGGGAAAGGGAGGGAGAAAAGAAGGAAATAGCAGGGAAGTAAGAGGGAACAAAATTTAATTTCCGGCACAAACCACGCCTACGGGGTACGGGGAGGAGTGGGAAAAGGGGGGGGGGCGGAAAGAAATAGAATGGCAATGGGGCATCGCCAGGAAATGTGTGCCTCTCCTAAACAACACTCGGTATAATGAAATGTTCCCATTTCGGCATCAGTGAGTTAATAGAATTATATTCCTTTGAGAGGAAATGCACGCATGCGGCGCATAACAAATTGGATATTTGCGCTGTTTTGACTCTAATCGAACGCTGCACTTATTACAAAATAACGCACGTAGTACCGGTCCGTCCTATGTCATGACGTAGAATTTAAGAACTGCATTAGCATTTCACATAAACAAGGATGCACTTACTCCAGGGTTACAGGAGATAGTTAAGAATGGACAACAACAGCTCAGCTATAGTAAATATATTTCCTTCTCATGATCACATTCTATTTTGTGCATGGAACTATCTCGAGCATGCCTCACTTCTAACAGTCGCCTCTATGACAACGAAAGAGCAGGAGCAGGCGTACCAAGCGCGCTCTCTTTCAAGCGAGCGCGCCAGTGGATGCTAGGCCGCGCCACGCCAAGCGGCGGTGAGCCGAAGCGCGTTCGGCTGCACTCGGATCCGTTCGGCTCTGCCGGGCGGCGCATCGACCAGAGAGTGCGCGCGCTTCAGAACCGGCTGTCGGGCACAGTCCTCGCAGCGCGGGGATGTAACTCAGCGGTAGAGTGTCTGCTTCGCATGCTGAAAGTCCTGGGTTCAAATCCCAGCATCTCCAATCGCAACATTTTTTTTTCGCTACTTTGTCAACGTCCCGACTTTGCCAGTGGTACAGGTTGTATCATTTTCAATTCAAGGACGTGTGCTTTCCACATACTATCATGCTTAAACACCTTTAACATTTAAAAGATTAAGTGATACATAAGCATGAATCAATTCAACCTTTCATGAATTTCCAACATTACATGCACGGTATAGGCGGCATACTGCACCGTAGAAATCAGATTTCAAATATATCTCGCAGATACTTTGTTTTTGATGTCTTTTCCCAGCAGTGTAGTCGACTCGCTTTGGTTTGGTTACACTGGCTTCAATGCGCCGCTGAACTAGGCCTCTACAATCGACACTGGGATTTGGGAACACGGCGGGGACAATTAGGGTGAAACAGGCCTCCTCATGGGTCGCTCTGCCTAGTTTAGAGGAGGAGGGGGAAACATGCTGTGTGATCTCCTAAATCTCTCCTCTCTCTGGCCGTTTTGGCAATAGGGTCTCGGAATTCTAATCGGGGCCGTCTCGACGCGGTAAAGCAGCTCATCGCCGGCAAGTAGATTGTGTGTCCGTGTGTGTGAACAGTGTGCACTAATATTGGATGTAGGCGCGCCTTTGTTTTCGGAAAAGCCTTCATTGTCGGCATGAATGGAGATCAGAACTATTATGCCAAAGAGACATCCCCCTCCCCGTCTCTCTCACTCTCGGCCCCGCTCTCCTCATTTATCTCTAGTTAATTCACTAAAGTCGCGGGGCAGCAAAGTTATTATTATGAACGGAGCGAGTGAAGAGGCGGGAGATTTTCGCGGCTGATTTTGCAGCTACCATCGGTTCTGCCATGCCATGAAGCTGATGCCAAAAGCACAGTATAAGCTCAACGAAACTCTGCACCATGACGAGACTTAATTGGTTCTCCCCTTTCTCTATCCACCCCATTCCCAATCCTTTGTTTTTCTAATCAATAATTCTGGCCCCGTTGAATTTCCCAAATGAATTATTGTGTCTATCTCGAATAAAACTACACAGGGAAAAATAATAAGGTTGTTGAAACTAAAATTGTGTTCGTTCTGCCCCGTCACTGTATATTGACTGGCTTCTCCCTACAACGCGTTCTCAAATATAATTTTCGTTCATAGTTACGAGCTAAAACTGACAAATTTTGATTTGCAAGACTTAGCATATATGGACTTCGAAAAATAGTTGAAGTTTCTACAGTAAATTTTTCCATGTCGTAAACTTACAATTCAAAATTGTAAAATGACAAGCGGCACGACGTATAGACTGGGAATTCATCGACGAGCAAGATTGGGGTGCCATAAATTTACAACACATTTCGTAAACATCAATTACAACATATGTACCCGGCAGGCTTAGCCCTTGCCGAACGGAGTTCAACGCGGAGCGAAGTGAAGCGTGAAGCAATTTCGTTTTACAGAAGGGCATGCCTACTTGTTCATACAGTGTTCTCACGTGGGAGAGT